CTTGGCCTCCTCTGGGAGGATGGCACAGGGCTTGAGGCCGTGCATTCCCATCTCTGCATCACCCGGAGCTCTGCCCGTGGTGATGTTGTGAGTGGAAAATCCTGATGCAGCTGTGGATGGTGTTTTGGAGCAAATCTGTGTTCATGGCAACGTCCGCCCTTGGTGCGTTTTTGCCGGGATGTGGCCCCATGTGCCCCTTCCCAGTGCTGGGAGCAGGGGAAAGCTGCTGCAAACAGGGAAAGCCAAAGGCTCTGTAACCCACAGTGGGTCACAGAGAGGCACACGGGATACCCTGGCATGTGCTGGTTTTGGGAAAGGGCCATTGCTTGGCCTCCTCTTTCCAGATGTAGACCGTGTTCTTTCCAGTGTCGGAGTGTGAGGATCACCCCTGCCCGTGGCTGAACGTGACCCTCAATGGGCCCCCAGACCAGCCACCCCTGAGGGTGCAGTGCTGTCTCAGGACACAGCTGTGAAGGTAAAACCACCCCAAATTCCCCACCTGATGTTGCATTGGTCCCTAGACCCCTGGGGACCATCACCACTGGAGCCATGATTCAGAAAACAGGGATTACCCTCCCGAAAAAAACAAACCCAAGGGTCCCTGTACCCCGTGGCAGGTGTCAGCCATCCCATGGGATGTGCATCCACACTGCCAGCGGCCTCAACGGCCACAGGACCACTGAGGCCCTTTTCCCCCAGCATCTCGTGTTCGTGTTTGCTTTGGCGTTGGCTAAACCACCACTGAAGTATTTCCAGTTGTCACAGCAAGTGGGGGTGGAAATGCCACTTCTGAGGGGTGAGTACCTCCAAAAACATCTGCCTGTGCCGGGGCGTCGCAGCACGGGACAAGCACAGAGCAGAGCCAGCCCTGCTGGGAAGGAGCGAAGAAGGGTCAAGGACAAGTTAAAATTGGAAAGAAAACTGAACATGCTGTTTTGCAGGACCTTGCTTGCTCTCAATTTGCCAATTTTTTTTTCCACCCTCCCCTTCCCGTTGCCAGCGGGGCAGTGTCACCATCTCCCGTGGCTGGTGAGGGCAAGGGGTCAGTGCCAGCCAAAATTGTTGGGAAGAGCCACCAGCTCTCGGGGGCTCTTCTTGGCAGCCTCAGCCACAGCAGGTCCCCTTTGCACCCGCTGTCATATTTTAAATCTCCTTGCCTCTGTGTCACTCCTCCCCAGCCACAGATCTGAGCGTGCCGCACATTTTTGTGCTGAAATTCAGAGCTCTGTGCTGGACTCTGCCAAGCATGAGTCTGGGTTGTGTAATGAGCTTCATCTCTTATTTTTGGGTTTCCTATCCACCCCCCCGCCCTCCTCCCCCAAATAAGATTTTGGAAAAGCAACGTCTGAGAGCCCAGAAAGACCTGTCAGCTTTTATGCCTTCCACAGCTTTGTTTTTGTGGGTGTGGGTGGGGTTGATCCCCATGCAGAGGCTTTCAGAGTACCCTCTTTGTGTTCCAGCATCTCCTCCATCCTCTGTGTCTGTATCCCAGCTCAAAGCAAGGATGCACTCACATTTCCAGATGTCTCCCTTAAAAGTACCAGTTTTTTGCAGGGTGAGCCTCTTTAATGGGCAGGGGGAAGGAGCTGCTTTGGCAGCCGTGGATGGAGCCCCGTGCTGACCCTGTGCAGAACTGCCAGGGATACCCTCAGAGTGTCACCAGCCCTCATTGCCTTTGGCACCTGGCCCAGCTGGGGCTGGAGATGCTGGATGAGGCCAAGATTGGTGCTGAGGGATCAGTCAATGCCAGCTGAGCCAGGAGAGCATTTGGGCAATCGGGTGCTGGGGCTTTGCAACCCCGGACACAAACAGATTTTAGGACCTCATTTGCTGTAGCTGCTTCCATATTCCCCTGTGGTGGGCCGTGGAGCTTGATGGGCTCATTTTCTTTATCTCTACCTGGTTTCAGAATCAGAATCACCTAGTCTGGGGAGAAAGGAACCTTAAAGACCATCTTGTTCCAGCTCCCCTGCTGTGGGCAGGGACACCTTCACTGGACCAGGTTCTCAAAGCCTCATCCAACCTGGCCTCCAACACTTCCAGTTTTACCCTCTGTGTCCCTGTGTTGTCCCATTTGATCCCTTGTTTTCGTGCTGCTCAGGTCAAGCCTAGCTCAGCACTGGGCCCAGGGGAAGCCCATCCTCAGTGCCCAGAACCTGCTGTGGCCAAGCTCAAGCTGCTCCTCCAGCAGCAGCCGCGGTCTTTGCACCTCATCAGTCCAGGCAGAGCAACCCCAGGGCCTCCCGCCTGCTCTGCTTGGAAGTGGCCAAGAGATACAAAAGTTACTCAGAGGAAATGACTGTGGGTGCATTGACACCATCATACGAGTTTGTGTCTGTGGGAACCCGAGATAAACCAGCCCCGAGGTCCCTGCTGCGTGTGAGTGCCAGTGCAGCGGGTCACGGGACCCCCCAGGAGCTGCACTTTACGCAGTAGGCTGATCAAAACCTCTTCCCTCTAATTCTGTTTTTATTTTTCATTTAGGTGTTGCAGTTAAATATTTATTATCACGACAAACAGAAAACAAGCTCTGGCCTGGCATCAGGACAGCCCAGTTGCCTGCACCACTCCTGAAAGCATCACAGCCCTGTGACCTCAGCATCTCCAGGTTGGTAACTGTCCTGTCTGGGCAGGTAATTTAACAACTGAACAGCCCCAGCAGAGCACTGTCCCTCGATAACCAGGTGGCAGATGCAGGGAGGTGTGTTAGCTGGCACACCAACCACCTGGCACCACCAAGGCACCACTGCAGGGCCATGTAGGTGAGCAATGCCAGCCCAAACCTGCTGAATTTCCTGTTATAAAGTAACGTAAGAGTGGCGATCCCAGGGATGGTGTGGGCATGAGCAACGGGGACGTGCAAGCCCACGAGGGTTTGAACTGTGGGGTTTTTTTCAAACATTTGGGTGCTGTAGCCAAGAGGGTGTCTGTGCTGGGTGCTGATATCAGCCCAGGAGGAGACCCAGGCCCTGTGGGTGCTCCCATGGTGGGGTTCCATGCTCCCAGCATCGCTCTGGACACATCCACAGAGTCTGACCTCACCCATCAACTGCAACACAGCTCCAAGAGATTATAAAATGGGAGATGCCTAATATCTCCCAATGGAAAGTATTTCAGCTAAATCCATGCTCTAACCATTTTATTGACTCCAAGTACCAGCAAGGAGGTTAGAAGTGGCTCTTTTACAAGTCATTTTGCTGTTAAATTTAGCTGTCCTATTTTCATTATCCCCATGGCTTTGGCAAGGGTGAGCAGCCTTCCCTAAAAGGCCTCGTTTCATACAGTAAGTTATTTGCTTCTCTCCTGACAGATATCTAAGCTTATAAGGTTTGTCTGCTCCACTCAATAGCAGTATCAGCCTTCAATCTTGTGTGATTAGCATCAGCATTTCACATTTGCTTTTGGCTCCCTGTCTGACAGCTTTCCATGTTGCTGAGGGCCCGGGCGCTGGGATTGCATCATGTCACTTGCAACGTGGGATCATCTGATTTTGATTCCCATGCTTCATGGTACGCCCAAAAGATTTGGATAACTGGTCCAGCTGCTTTTCCCCCAGTTTTTCCTATTGGCCAGCAAAGATAATCGATTTGTTCCACTCACTTTGCGGTTGTCAGGTCTGCAATAGATTGAGTCGAAAGGTCAGCGTGGCAGCAAGTGAAGGGCGGTTGAACTTGAGAGGTGGTGGTGCTAAAAGAAATGTTCCAGAAAGGAAAGATTTATCTCAGCAGGTTAAGCTTTTCCATATTTCCAAACCCATTTCCTCCTGCAGGGAGGGCCCTTGTCCCAGGCTCGGTGGCTGCAGAGAGCCAGTGACTCCTTCGAGGTCTCGGGAGGCAGAGATGAACTGGGGCTCATGGGATGGAGCCTGTCCTTGCAGGAAGTGCTGAAGTGGCTGGGCTTTGAGACTTTGGGGGGAAAAAAATCCTCTGTTCCCCCCAAACAACCTTGCTCAGTCTTTGTATTCCCCTCCTCAGCAAAGAGCTCACCCCTGTGGGGCTGTGCCCTGGTGCTGCCTGATGGGATGCAGTGGGGACACAGGGTCCCTCCTCCACAGCCTCTGTGCTTTCCTCCCTCCCTCACCCAAACTTCCCCACTGTGGTGATGTTGGACCCCAAATTTCAGTCTGGCATGTTCAAATCCAGCCCCTTTCTCGGTGATATTTGCTTAAAGTGGTGCCTGCTGAGCATCCCTCACTGTGACCCTGGCTCGCCTGGCCCTGCTCCCTGCCGGGCCTTTCAGGAAATGCTGGGAATGCTGAAAATGCTTCGAAATGCGCCCAGCCCAGCCCAGTGCAAGTGCTGGGAACCAGCCAAGCCCCAGCTGTTCAGCCTCGCCATGGGAGGGGGCCAAGCTGGGCACCCATCTGCCCGTGGGTTGGCTCTGAATTGCTGGGATGGGTTTTCTGTGCTCCCCCTCCTCTTTCATGACCCTTTTTCTGGAGCAGCCTTTGGGGGACAGAGTAGGACATGGGTTTGGGACACTGATGGGAGACCCACAGCCTGAGGTGGCTGCTGGGGTAGGAAAGATAATACCCCCATCCCTAAAATCCTAAAATCCTTTCCCAGGACCCCCACCATCTCCATCCCACTGTTGCTCCCAGGAATGCCTCGTGCTCATCCCGAGCCCTGCCCGCAGCCCCTCCATCCCCAGGGAAGGCCCTGCCTGGGCGAGAGTGCATCCCCCGCAGGCAGACAGCTTCATCCTGCTGGCACGTGGGCTCTGCAGCGGGGTGGCCCTGCACCCTCCCGCACCCTGTCCCACCCCCGGACCATGTAGGGCACCCGCTGCTCCCAGCCCAGAGCTTATAGGAAGAGGAAGCCCCATCCCCGCGCAGAGGAGGAAACCCGCCAGCCCAGATGTGCACGGAGCCACGCCGATAGCACTCTTACTTTGGTTTTTTTCTCTCTGCTCTGCAAACAGAGGAGCTGCCGGGCCAGCGGTGGGCACAGCCCGCACGGGCAAACAGCGGGGCTGCCGGCAGGCTGCGGCACAGCCCTGGCGCAGCCATGGGGCAGAAGTGCATGGACAAGGTGTCCTCCTTCCTCTTCGAGTATGACACTCCTCGGATGGTGCTGGTGAGGAACAAGAAGGTGGGACTGACCTTCCGGCTGATCCAGCTCATTGTCCTGGCGTACATCATCGGGTAAGGCTCCCCGGCGCCTGCCTTCCCTAAAATCAGTGTTTTGCCACTGGGTTAAAAAGCAACGGAGAGGAAAGGGCTCCTATATCCCCCATATCCCAGTGCAGGGGGGTCATTGCTGATGGCATCGCATCCCTCTGGCCGTGGCTGCTCCCGTGCAGCCCAGTGTCCCACCGTGGCTCTTTCAGGTGGCTGCTTGGTCCCCACATCCTCCCCAGAAGCTGCAGCGTGTGCGGGCTGGAGGCTCATCCTTGCCCAGCCCTGCTCCGCACGCCGGGGCCCCGGCTCCTCGCTGAGCCCCGTCCAAATCCTGCTCGAGCTGCTGGACGGTGGCCTGAGAATCTGTTGTTATTTTTATTTTCATTTATATTAAATAAGAGGCATGTGGGGCCAGCGGGGTGATTTGTGAGACCCAAGCGGCTTGAGACAGGGCCATAAATCTCCCTGTCCACCGCCCTGGCGCTGGGGCCGAGACGGAGCCTGGCTCCAAATTCCTGGTCTGCTTTGCTTCTGGGAGGCAGCTCCAAGAGCAGCAGCGGTGCAAGGGCAACTGGTTAAAAAAGGCATCGAGTGGAGCAGGCGGGATCAGAGCAGGATGAGGATGTGTATCCTCAGGTGCCCTGGGGTTGCTGCTCCTGACACAGGGATTCGGTCCTTGTCTCCTCAGGGTGGGATGATGCAGCATGGTATGGCATGTGATGGTTGATAAGTCTTTGCTGTGGCCCCATGGCTGCTGTGGGCTCAGTCCTAGAGAGAGACCAGCGCTCTTTCATTGGGAAGGGCCCCACAGCAGAAGGTTTGAAGGGAGAGGGGGTGTCTGGCCATGAACTGGAAAATCTGGGTATTTTTGGGGTGCAGGGTGTCTCATGTAGCACAAAGGAAAGGCAGTGGATCCCAGGGCTCAGTGCAAGCAAGTTGCTGTGGGGAGAAGAGTTGCCCAACTCTGCTTTTAGCAGATTTCCTGGGAAGGGAGAATGTGGGACCCCCACATCGCTCCCATGCTGCTCATCAGCTCATTGCTCTGTTGCACAGGGTTTTGCACTGGCCCAGACTGGTGTTGGTGGGAGCAGCTTTATGTCTCCTAAGGACTCAACCTGTGAAGCCCCAGAGCTCCAGCAAACGTGGCTGGGGGTGGTTGGGGAACAGGCACAGATGGTTGCTCAGAGCAGGACTTCCTAAGGAAATGTGGCTTAAGCAACCAGCTAAACTGAGACGGGCAACCAGCAGGGAACAGAGAGAGAATCTTGGGGCGACAGCCAGGGGCAGGGAGGAGGAGGTTGACTGTAATTCCCAAGTTTTTCCTGGTTTGGTGGGGTTGGGCACCTCTAGCAAGGGGCTGCCTGTGAGTGCAGCTGCCCACAGCCCCACCAGTCCCTTGCTGCCCACAGCTCTGTCCCCAGCTCTCTGCCCACAGCACTGTCAAAGCACAGATGTGCTGGACAGACATGGGCAGTGCCATCAGGGCACAGATGTGGGGCCAACCCCACCGAGAGACCCTGTGTCACCCCTGGGGAGCAGCTCTTCTTTCCTCTGATGACAGATGAGGTGGTGTCACTGCTGGCCAGACGATGCCAGGCGCTTTCTGTGTTTCACTTCCTGAAACCTCGCATGCAAGGAGCCTTGGGCTGAGCCACAGGATGGGGCTGGCAAGAGGAAGAGTGTTTGGTGATCCTGCCACATCAGGAAGTGACACCAGGGGACATTTACCACCTGGGCAGAGCTTGCTGCAGCATTTACAGCTTCACTGGAAAACTGTGTTTTGTTTGCTGTGACCTGCTTTGCAGCAGGGTGGGGGCCACATCCTGCCCTGCCATGTGTCCCAGTGGGGTGTCCAGCCCCGGGCAGTCACCTCTGCGAGGAAGGGATGTGGTGACAGTGGCAGAGGCTGTGCTGGAGGCAGATTTAGGGAAACACTCTGCCACGGTGCTGCCCAGCTCAGAACCTCCTGCAGCCCCGAGGGCATGGGGAAGATGCCCAGTGTAACCAGTGTAACCCAGTATGGTCTTCTGCTCTCAGCTGGGGTGACAGCAATGCTGAATTTCTCCTCCCATCCCCATGCCCTTGCCCTCTGTCCCGGGATGCTGACGGGGCTGCAAGCCAAAAAGCTCTGTCCCCAAGAGGTCCCCGTAAGGTCCAGCAGCCACAGGGAGTGCCTGGGGTTGCCCCATTCTCCTCCCTGCCCATCAGCCAGGTGCCAGAGGACAGGTTGATGTGCCAGGCTGGTGTCACGTGCTGCCTCTGCCGTGGCCAGCGGGACCGATGCCCACGGTGGTGGGGACAAAATCCAGATCGCTCCTTTTTTAGTGCCGGGAATGCTCCGCGCCGCCGGCAGCGCTACCCGAAATGGTTGCTCGCCCGTGTTTACAGTGTCCCCGAGTCAGAGTTAATCCAGCGGCAGCTTGTTTATGCCCTAGGTTAAATAGTGTCAGGAGCCCGCCCTAATGGCTGAGTGATGGGCTGGGAAAGGCAGGGAGAGGCCTGTTCTGGCCACAGCAGTGTCCCTACCCCTGCTCCTGCAGCCCTCTTGCCCACAGGGCCACGGCTCCACATTCCCTTGGCTGTGTGGGGAATGGTGACCCTGGATGTGCGCCATGCCCAGACCCAGCTCCGTGCTGGACTTGGAGGAATTGATTTTTTGGGGAGTGCCTTTGCAGTGGATCAGGAGGATTCGGGTGGGTCACTGAGCCCAGCAAGCTGCAGAATCACCGGGCTTTAATCCCAAATTGCTGACGGCCATCCTGCCTTCACACTCAGCAACAAAACATGTCGCAGTCCCCAAAACACATCATCCCAGTCAGGGCTTGCAGCTACCACACGCCTTGGGCAAAGGGTGGGAAAGTTCAGCGACACATCCCTCACCCAGCTGGAGGAAATTTGGCAAATGACCACCTCCAGGTGAGACTTGGCAGGAAAAGCACCAGTCCCCAGGACTGTGCTGGGAACTGGGCTTTTCTGGAGGAGGGTTGGTGGCTGTGCTTACCCTACCACTTCCCTCTCCAGGTGGGTGTTCCTCTACGAGAAGGGTTATCAATCTCAGGACAGCATTGTCAGCTCGGTCTCGGTGAAGCTGAAAGGGCTGACTCTGACCAACGAGAGTGTCCTGGGCCCTCACATCTGGGATGTGGTGGACTATGTTTTCCCACCCCAGGTAAGGAGGCAGGGTGGGTGGGTTGCTTTTGTCCCAGTGGCTGCTTTTCCCCATGTGCTGGGGTTCAGGTGGGTCCTTTAGTGTAGGCTTTCTGTGGGGCTACCCAAGACATGGTGTCCCTGGGGTGGAAAGCAGGTTGCTCCTGCAACAAAACTCTGCCCATATATCACCCCGGGGAGAATTTGGTGCTTGGGACCCACCATGGTGGATGGGGCATGTTAGAGGCTGCCTTTGAAAAGACCAAGGCTCCTCCAGACCATCTCAGGCAGCAAAGGGGGTCCTCCACTGTCCTGGGGCTGGTGGCACTACATGTCCTCAGGGACACCACCAGCTTCCTGAGCTACAGCAGAGAGGGTGGAGGACCTAAAGTTCAGGAAAAAGGTGCCATCTGCCTGGATGTGTCCTGGTGGGTTGGGTGCCCTGCACCTCGCCCCGGGGACAGGCTCCTCACAGAGGAGGCACTGTGCTGGCTGTGAGCTCGTTGGCTGTGTCTCCACAGGGGGACAACTCATTCGTGGTGATGACCAACTTCATTGTCACCCCTGGACAGAAACAAGGAACCTGCCCAGAGGTAAACACACCAGCTTCCTTCAGTGGGCTCAGCTTCTGTAATTCAGGGTAGTGGCACTGGGGAAGGACTTTTCCTGCCATTGGGAGGTTTAGTAAAACCCTAAGCCTGACCCCATATTACTGTTCCTGACTTGTGTGTTCTATGTGAAGGCTTTTATTCTGCTGAAAACCAGGCAGCATCCATTTAACTTTTCTTCCCTTTTATTTCTTTAAATAAAAGCATCTGCCTGAAGTTGAAAAACCAAATTTCCCCCCCTCCTTTTCCTGTTTAATCTGAACATCCTTGGTTGGGAAGGATGGACAAGGCTCTGGCTGCAGCTCAGCAGTATATCCCTCAAGGGACGTGCTGCCTGGTGAGGCAGGAGGGGCAGAGGGACCAAAGCTGCAGGGTGGGATGCTGAGAGGGGGCTGCTTTCTCCAAACAGCTGCCAGACGCCGGGCTCTGCACGCGAGACAACGACTGCGCCAAAGGGAAATACAGCCGGCAGGGACAAGGTACGGCCCCGAGGCTCCGGCACCGGGGCTTGTGGTGAGACACTGAGCAGAGCTGCCTGGGTGGGGTGTCTGGCAGGGGAACATCATGGCTGGGCTGTCCAGTGGGGGACCTGCTTTGGACCACTGGTTAACAAGATTTGGGGAAAGCCTTTGATGTGCTGGGTGAATGTCCCACCTTGGCTGGTCCTGCTTTCCTCTTTCGAAAGACACCTGAGCTGCAAAAAGCTCTGCCAGCAAAAGGTTAATCCAGACTAAACCACTTCTCCCAAACTGCTGTCCTCTGTCTGCTTGGCATTTTCTGAGATGTGTTTTAGCATGAGAAAGGCCCAGCTGCTCCCCTGTACAGCAGTGCAAGAGAAACCACTGCCCTGAGCTGAGAGGCCACAATTAATTACCCTTTTTACAAGGGGGCACCAAAGCCCTGAGCGTTTAGTGCCTTGGGATACCTGTGGCAGAGCTGAAACCTAAACCAGATCCCATCCACCCCAGTGTGAGGCTGGGATTTCCCGGCATCCAGGGGTGTGAGCAGCTGTTTCTCTTCCACACAGGGCTCATGACAGGCAAGTGTGTGCCCTTCAACAGCTCGGTGAAGACCTGTGAGATCTTTGGCTGGTGCCCTGTTGAAGTTGATGAGCATGTTCCCAGGTGAGGAATCCTGTTGTTGCCCTCTTTCCCACCCCATCAGCACTTGATGTGGGGCAGAGCAAGCCCAGGCTCTGTGGGATGTGGCCAGGACAGCCTGTGGAGTGAAAGACCAGAAAGGGAAGGGATGAGATCACCATTTCTCTGGGTCCTGCTTGTCCCAGTTTAAATCTGAATATCCACCAAATGTGGCTTTTGATATAGGCTGGAGAGCCAAGTGATATCAACACTTGTGTATTTCAGCCCTGCCCTGTTGTCAGAAGCAGAGAAGTTCACCTTGTTCATCAAGAACAGCATCACCTTCCTAAGTTCAAGGTGTCCAGGTAAGGGGAGGTTTGGGGGAATGGTTTCTGTTTGGTTCCTCCAGCTGTGTCCCTCAGGGGAAACCATCTGTGTGGCTGGATGCTCGATACAAAGGATGGTGTCCCTCATCAACAAGCCCAGGACTACTCTAACTGCTGCACTGATCCTCAGACTAGCTCATAGAAACTAAGACATTTCCCTCCCAAATCTGTGCCACCTCAGCTGCCAGCTGTATTTACCAGAAAGAAGGTTTCTGGAATTAAATTCTCCTGAGTTACCCCCACACGATGCACATCAAAATACAGTTACTCTGATTCTTCCTTTTTCTCCTCTCTTTTCCTCACTGAAGAAAACATTAAAATAACTATGTGGCACAGTGGCTGTGAGCAGCCAGGACAAGAGTGGTGCCAAAAAGGAGCAGAAGTCCCTCTTAACCATACAGTTCCCACCTGTTTCTGCAACGGGTTGTGGGGTCAGCTCGTTCCAGGCAGTGCTGGGAACAGTGCTGCTGGCTGAAGGAGCACTTGTAAGAGAATTTGTGATGGCACTGACTGTATGTGATTTGGAACAAACTAACAGAAGCTGTTTGTGCTGAAGACAGCAGATTCTTCTCTCTAAGCCAATCATGTCCCAAGGTTAAATGTCCTGGCAGCCAGGACGTTTGGAAAAGCCTTGGGCTGAGCTCATGCTGCTCCCAGAGAGGTGGCTGGGAGTGGGGACCTTTTTACCCCCAGCAGCAAGGAGAGGTGTCCTGAGCCAGAGCAGGCTGGAGGGACACAGTGAGGGGAGCTGGTTCTCAGAGTGAGGGTAACTGGACTGGCTGCTGTGGCAGGGGCTGCACCAGACCCCGCTGGGTCATGGGGAACTTCCTGCCTTTGATCACCCCTGACAATGAACTGCTGAGCATCGATGGTGGGACGTGGTTGAGCAAGACACAAGTCTTACAAAATCATCTGGGGCTGGGAGGTTCAGAGAAAGGCTATTTTTAAGTGAAAGAGCAGAGTGGAAGGCAAGAGGTTTTTCCTTTTCACCCTTTCCAGAGGAGATAACAAACTCCAGCTAAATGTAGAAGTTGTAGGATACACTTGCTATCCATGAGCTGTCCCAGGTGAGAATTGTTGGTGCATGGAGCAATTGCCTGGCAGAGCCCATGGACAAGCTGGCATGGGAATGGGAGAGGGCCATTGTTTGGACAAGGGACCTCCAGAGGTCCTTTCCCACCCAAATTATTGGATTATTCAGATTCTTTATCACTTTCTTTTTGTTCACAGGCGCAACTTGGTTGAGAGTGTTACCAAACAGTACCTGAGGAAATGCACCTATAACAAAGCCACCGACTCCTTGTGCCCTGTGTTTGAACTGGGATACATAGTGAAGGAATCGGGTCAGAATTTTACCTTCCTGGCTGTTAAGGTACTTGAATTCTAAATGATGTTCCTTGCTGAAGTGGGGAGGGGGACACTGGCAGAGCAATCATCCCCAGCTGTTGAAATGATTTTCTGTTATCTCAAGAATTCTTGAGAAAACAGAAGTGTCAGAATTAGCTGTTAAAGATTATGAATCTCCTTGGACATGGCCTAATATTTATGCCTTCCTTGGAAACTCTTGACAAGATTTGACCCGCTGGCAGTAAATCCAGGGTTCAGTTTGGTTTAATTTGTGCAATGAATAACCAGAGCTGTGTGGCCAAATCCCATCCAATTGAGCTTGGAAATCCCAGCTGGATGGTCAAATATCGGTCATTGCACAGTGCAAACTGCGGCCTCTCCCCAGGCTCTGAAATGCAGCTTTGCCTAGCACTTCTCAGGCTGATGTGCAAGAGTATCTGCTATTTCTGGGCTGCAGAGCCTTATGAGAACTTTGCCAGGCATTGAATAAAACCAGAGGCTTGCATATATTGCATATATTGAAACACATATGCACACAGAGAAGCTGTGGCTGCCCCATCCCTGGAACTGTTCAAGGCCAGGTTGGATGGGGCTTGGAGCAACCTGAGATAGTGGAAGGTGTCCCTGCCCACGGCAGGGGGTAGAACCAGATGGTCTTTGTTGCCCCTTCCAACACAAACCATTCTATAATCCTGTATACTGAAGGTGTAGAAATATGAGCCTCTGGGACACAGCTAGTTACGACCTGGAGTGAGCTCAGGACTGACTGCTTCATTTCCTGAGCAATCCCCTGGGCAGAATCAGGCAATCTGCACTCAGGGCAGAAGCAAGAGCCCTCACAAAGGCACAAAGCTGAGGTTGTCCAGGAGGGCTGAGACAGCAGTGAGCTCTGTGCACCTGGAGAGCCAGGACACTTCACAGCACTGAGACAGGACATGAGTGAGGAGGGAAAGCATTTTTCTGTGTGGGCCAGGTCCAAGAAAGGGCAACCTTGTGACTCCCATCTCTGCTGCAGGGTGGAGTGGTGGGCATCACCATAGACTGGAACTGCGACCTCGACTGGCCTCTCCGGTACTGCAAACCCATTTACCAGTTCCATGGCCTTTACAATGATGACAGTAACGTTTCACCAGGCTTCAACTTCAGGTAAGGAAACACCTGTTAATTCTCCAGCATAATTTGGAGGTGACAGCTCTCAGGTTCCCACAGCACTCAGGGGATGGTGGAAGGTCAGGGACTGTTCTCCAAAATACTCTCTACCTTTGCAGTACCAGACAGCAGTGCTCTTTTTAAAACAGCATGAGAAAAGTGATAGCACAGCCCTTGGCCTCAAAATTACCCCATTTCCTTTCCCTGCACATCTACCCCCCCCCCCCCTTGCAGACTCTCCTGCTCGGCTGAGCTCTTGGGAAGCCCCTTGAAAGCCTGGACATGGTGCAGTGTCATCTCCCGTGTTCCCACACTTCAAAATACTCTCCAACCTCTGCTCTGTGTGACAATCACTAGTGCTGCACCAATATCTGCTGTCAGCAGCACTTGGGGACATCAGGTCAAACAGCACGAGCAGGAGCTGGAACCCCAACTTGCAGGTGGGGAAATGGAGGCACAGAGAGGAGAGGTGCCAACAGCCCAGCTCCTTCAGGGGGTTTAAGGACAAGGTCAGGAGCAGGCCTGTGATAGCACATTCCCAGATCTTTGTCCCCCCAAGATCCCCATGCTGCTGGTTTGCAGGGGGCTGTTAGACACCCTGACAGGCCATTAACGCTCAGCATCCAATTGCACAGATATGCCAAGTACTACAGAGAAGATGGGATGGAAAAAAGGACCCTCTACAAGGTGTTTGGGATCCGGTTCGACATTTTGGTGAATGGCAAGGTAAGGGTGGCCAAGCACCAGGATCATCCCTGGATTCCCTGGGGAGCAGAGCCATGGCTGTGTGACGGTACCAGATCTGCAAGGCAGCACTGGGGTCCTGTGGGGCCAGGAAAACCAGTGAGAGGAGTTTTCCTTGGGTGCTGGCCCACCCACAGGAGCCCCTGGGAAGTACCAGGGAAGGGAATATAAGAGGAAAAGCCTGTTTTACAGGGCACATCGATCAGCTGCAGTTTGGTCAGTGGTTTTGTCCAAAAAACATCATGACTGGGGGGCAGGGGGGGAAACTGTGGAAAGTCAAAACGTTTTACTGATATGTCCAAAAGCTGGACATTTTGCTTTTTTTTTTTTTTATTTATTTTTTATCTCTTTCTTCCCAGTAGAAGAGAAGGCTTCCTCACTGTGTTCCCACTGGGAATATTTACAGGGTATACTTTTTTGGTTTTGTTTTTTTTTTCTTTTGTTTGGTTTGGGTTGGGTTTTTTTAATTAAAAATACAGGAAGCAAAGTAATTTCATTTTATTTCAGCCTGAAACCAACTATATTTTTCTGTTTGACCAGCTCTGTCCCAGCTCCTGTTTCTCTCTGTGCTGTGATTGTGGTTTGGGTTGCTGCAAGGCACTTTTGCTGAGCCCCACTTACAGCTACACCTTTCCTCCCCCTCCCCCCAAGGCTGACTGTAACTTATCACCTATTTTCTTTGACTTTATTCAGGCAGGCAAATTTGACATCATCCCAACCATGACCACAATTGGCTCTGGAATTGGTATTTTTGGAGTGGTAAGTTCAGATATTTCCAGCCTCTATATGGAGACTCTCAAATTATTCTTCTTGCCTGTGACATCCGTGGGAAGTGTCCTTGCTGCAGTGAAATACTGGCTCCTGCTCAGGGAACCAGGGGATGGGCAAAGTGGGAAAGGAGATGCTCTCCTGCCTCACTAGCTCAGGGAAACAGATTCCTGCCGACTGATGAGGGGAAGGCTGGCTCTCCTGACAGGGCCATGTCTTGATATCCTGATAGCTTCAAGTTAGAACTGGTGTTGAGGGAGCTTTGGAGGTGATGGGCAGTATTTTGTGCAGCATGGCAAACCAGTATCCTGTTTGGTTATGATTGTTACAGGTTGGCCGTGACCCCGAGGGTGTTGTGCTCTGCACTTACCCAAAGTGGAAACACTTCATTTCTGTTGACTTAAGTCACCCAGTGTTGAACACAGCACACTTCACTTCTGTCCTAAAGGGACAGTTGGGGACCCTATGTTCTTTAGCAACTGCCACGTTGTGGGTTGAAACACAGGTGACCCTAAATTGTGGGACAAACTGGCAAGTGCACAATGGTCCAGGTGAGCTTGGAGGGCAGCCTGAACCCTAACTGTGCTTTGATTTAAGGCCTCTGTCCTCTGTGACCTGCTCCTGCTGCATTTCCTGCAAGGACGGGACTATTACAAGCAGAAGAAATTCAAATACGCAGAACCGGAGCCCGTAAGTAACAGCGAGTCCCTGCCCTGCCGAGGCTCTGGCGGGGGTGTGAGTGTGGCTGTGTGCATGAGTAATGATGCTGTAACACAAACATCCATGTTGAGGAGCAACCAGGCGCCTTCCCGAGCCCTTGGGACTGTCGGAGACTGGGATCCATGAATCTCCTCTCCAAAATTACTGTGATCTTGTGTGACTCACCGTTAATAGCTTTATTCTCTCCCTTTAACCCCAGATATTCTGATATCTGGCAATGCTTGCATTGCTTTAAGGGAAGTAGGGGCAGACCAGTGCTTTAGCAAACTGGGAAATGTCCCCTTCTCTGCTCTCTGAGAACATCTCCATGACCGTGGAATGTTTTAAGGTCTTTCATAGGACACAGACACAGCTCCCCTCAAATTCATCTGAAAATATGCTTATACATTGGGGTTTAGAAGTTGCTGTCCAACCACATTTTCCCCTGGCATTAGAAAGGAGCAGGTCTGTAAAAGAATCCTTGTTTTCTCTCATTTAATCCCCAGTCCAAGTCACACAAGAAGGAAAAGGAGCTGGACAACACGCAGTGAGAGGTGAGTGGTGTTTCCCCAGCCCTGCTGGCCTATGGCTGGCAGGGAGGGCTTTGGGTTTCAGGGCTATGCCAAGGCCCCCGGGAAGACAGGAGGGCTACAGGGAAGGCATGGAAGAGATCTCAGCTAAGGACAACAATGTCTAAACCAGAGTCAGCATTTCCCAGCCTAAGCAATTGCTGAGGGCAGCACTGGGTGTGGGGTGTGGGACTGACATCACATCTTTGATGGCAGCATTGCTTGAAGAGGGGTAGTGGGGTGCAAGACACCAGAAATCACTGTGCACCTCTCTCTCTCGGCAGAATCCACACGGACCGACAAACCTGCACCCTCTTCCTCCTCCTCCTCTCCTAAAACACAGTCACCATCCCCTGTCACCAGCCTGTGCCAGCCCCAAGGTCAGCAGGAGCAGTGTCCAACACCAGCTCATGGGAAGGTGGTGCCCTGCAGCCAGGGCAGGGGCCGGCCGGCCCGGCACCCAGCTGTGGGTGGGCACAGGGATGCTGTGGGTGGGCTAAACTAAGGGACTCGTGGGGCCCTCTGCCAGCCCTGCTGCAGGGCACCGGGGTCTGCTGCCATTGCAGACCCTTCCAAAGGGCTCCCACAGCATCCTGCCTGGTATCCCAAAACCATGCCAGGGCACCTCTCACCTAAAGCCCCTGAGGAGGCCACTGCTGCCTCTCCCTTCCCAGTGGCACCTTTGGACAGCTTCAAATTGAGGAGAAGGAGAGGGAAGGAGAGCTGGCAGGAACCATGACCAGTCCCCTCAGCATGGGAGAAAAAGGGTTATTTTGTAAGGATGTATTTTGTTTTAAAAAAAAAAATAAACCTTTAGTTTTTCTACTACATCCCTGGGCAGTGCCCACACTTGCCCCAGGGTGTGGGGTTTGCTTTGTTTTCATCACTGGGGGGTTTGTGCATGCAAGGCAATCCCATAAATCAGGCTGGAGTGTGGGGCTCAGTGCTGGCTCCTCCAGCCTCTGCCTTCCCCTGCAGGGCCCCTGGGCCTCTGGCCACGAGCAGGGGCTGTTATCAGTGTTGTCACTTCGGTTTCCTCCTCAGACAGCCTGGTTTGGGGGGAGTGCTGGCTCCCAGCCCAACATCCAGATCCGCTGCCCTGTGCCAGCTCTACCTCAGCTGCCCTTGCTGGTCAGTGTTAGCCTGTCAGAACTGACCTGCTCGGCAGGAGCCTCCCAGAACAGTTCTTTGCACCCAGGAACGAAACTTTTCCTCTCTGCTGGAAGATTTGCACTACTCGGCATGTGCAGCTGGACATCATGGACTGTGCTCAGACCCCACATCCCTGCGAGCAGTCTCTCTCTGAATGAATGTCATTTTGTACCTCCTGGGGGAAATTTTGGTCGCTTCAAAAGTGGATTCCAACTGCACTGTGCAAGTCAGTGAAAAGGCTGTAGGGGTTGGTGGGGCTGGGCCTGCAATGCTGCTGACAGCAGTGGGGAGTGTGAGCCAGAGCCTGTGGGATGGACACACCACGGTGGGATGGCAGGGACACAGGAATGTGCCACAAATAGATGCAGGTGATATTTGGTCATAAGTTCAACAAGCACTTCAAGCCATACATTCCCTGCTGGGAGATCATTTGCTCTTAGCGGGATGCCTCAGCTTTCTCAGGCAGGGTGGGGTTTTGTAAGTTATCCATGGTTAAGTTTTTCACCCTTTCTCATCCTGCTGCCCTGTGTAAGAGGTGCCAGGTGCTTACACTTAAGATGCAGAGTGGGTAAGGGAAAGCTCCCCGCTCTCTGAAGGAGTTGGTGCCTGTTCAGCGAGCACTGGGGGCGTGGGGCTGGGGGTTTCCCCACGCCACGGGGGCTCTCCTGCAGCGCCCATCGAGGCCGAGCACTGTGCACCGTCCCGGCTGGTGCGGCTCCCCAGCAAGCTGCCGCCAGCAGAGGGGACTGCGAGACCATTTACCACAGACACGCCTGCGGGAAACCCTTTTACCAGAGACAGCGAAGCGATGTTCAGGTAACCTTTCACACCCACTTAAACTGGGTCAATCTCCGGTCAAACCCCAAAATAACCAGCGCGAGGCTGCAGGTAGAGCAGGGGGGTGTTTCTGCCTTCTTAATCTTTCAAGCTGCTTGGAATGTAAAGCGTCTATTCTTCCTTAGGAAGAATTAAAAGGCAGAATAGGAAATCAGGAAAAATGCTATTTGTAAATGATCCAGTGTAGCTGCTATCCAAAACTTCTGAGCTGGGATCCATAAAAGTCCCAAGACTGCTTTAAAAATCATGTCAGGGCTTACTTGTGTTTCCATACTTGTTTTTTAAAACACACAGTCTTTCGGAATGCTTTTCTTTGCTTTTCATTCACCATTTCTGCAACCAGCAGAATAAGGGAGATATTGCGATTTTTTTTTTTTTTTTTTTTAATTCTTTCATCCAAACAAGCTCCTCCTCTAAGCCAGAGCCCCCACGCCCTGTGGTTCCCAAGCTGGACCAAACAGAGCGATGGCTGTCTGGAGGAAACTGAGAAGTGTCAAGCTGGTCCCCTCTGCTGTAGGAAGCATGAAAAGGCAGGGAAAACCCATGGCAATCGTTTAGGTTCTTCTTTTTGCCAGCGGGGTGGAGAGCAAGGAAGAAGGGCTGGTGTGCTCAGCTCTGTGGTGTAGATGTTCTGTTTCAGCACTGCAGCTCCCAGCGCCTTCTCCCAGCGCCTTCCAGTTGGCCAAAATTCATGCTAAATTACTGAATGAGGGATAGGACACCACAGTTAAAATCTTAGAGCTAGAGACTCTCAAATGGAAATGCTGGCAGGTTAAGACACCCTGCAGTGTCCTGGTGTTGCTACTGAGCTGCTTTCAGCACGAGTCCCTGGGGGAGGTGTGGATGACCTGCGGGACTGTACTCCCGTCCTCTTGGTTTGACCTGAACTTGCTCTGAGGGTCACGGCAGAATTTACTGTGCTTTGCCAGAAGAATTTCCTTGTGTTGCATCCAGAAAATGACCGTTTTTGAAGTTGTAAAGATGCAGGCAGTGTATCCTGCTGCTCTCTGACCTCTGAGCAGCAAGGCAAAGTGTCCCAGAATCCCAAAGGGATTTGGACATTATATGAAGCCCCCTCAATGACAGGTTTCTGTGCTACTTCCTGCTTATGCTGTGGCCACCTGAGGATTGGGTTGCTTGTGGGGGTTATTTTAAGTCCTTATTTCATTGCATTTTGGTTTTTACACAGTTAATAACTAATAGAAAAATGCTAATGGAAAAGGACCCTTCAGTAATTCAAACACTGCCCCAGAAAACACACAAGAAAGAATATCTATTCTCCAGCTAATCCCTAATCTTTGCAATCAGCACTAACAAGCCCCTGTATGTGATGGTGTCAGTGCTCTAAGGACTCTTACACTGATCATGGGTGTTAGATGACGAGAGTGAGCTCTGAGTGCAGTGTGATTATTCCCACTTTGTAGAATAGAAAACCAAGATACAAGCAAATAATTTCAGAACGTGGATCTAAATGCAGTGAGAATTTTCTGGCTTTGACCAGTTATTGTTATCTGTGAAGGTTACCAGGTTCAACCTTTTACAAATACATCTTTTCACGTCCCTCAGGCATGCTTATTTTGAAAGAATCAAATAGCACAGATATTCCAGAAGAAAAATCTTATTTGGCAATAATTATGCTGGTTAGTGATGCTGCAGGGATGAGGAATTATATTTCAACCTCTGCAGAGCTGGCGACATTTAATCATTATGTTTGCGCCCAATTCCCAGCACAATGAGGCCCTGATTTCCACCTGGTGCTTCCAGACACTGTAACAAGGCAAATTAAATGAATAACACTCAAAAAGGAGATAGCTCCTTCCCTGTGCAACCACTCCTGCCTCTAACCCCACTCATTCTTCCCCTGGCACAGCAGACTCCCTGTTATTTTTAACCCAGTCCTTCACTTAGGACATTCTTGAATTTTTCCCTAAAAAAGCACCTCCCTTTCTGGTTACACTAACTCCCTTTCTTTTTTTGATGTGGAAGCATGATTTCAGTTAGATAGATTGTCTGGCTGACACACAGCGAAGGACTGGCAGGAACACACATGTTCTCCCAGCTCTGAAGGATGCTTTTATTTCTTTCTATCCTGAAGTGGGGCATTCTTGGGCTGGGTGGCACAAGGAACTTCTTGGCCATTTGAGAACTAGACATCTGGAGCTCAGCCTGCAGCCACCTCCCCGGGCCCAGTGTGGTTCTTACAGCTCATTTTCGCTGCTGCCAGCTCTGTACTAATTATGCCAGGCTATATTCTTTTGCTTTCTCTGGTGAAGTGCTCTCTCCTTCTGTTATCTATTTCTAATTGCTTTATTGCTCTATTTTAGAAAGAGTGAAGCCTGAAGTGTCCAAGTGGGTTCTGAATACAGTGACAACTCAGTCAACCGATGGGCCCTTGGGCAGGGGTGAATGAGGATCCCTTCAGCTGACAGGGCTCTGCCTACCAGCACCAAGCATAGATTCTGCTCAGTTTTATGGCTCCATAAAGAGATCTCTTAAACCAAAGGATGGCTTCAACTCTCTTTTTATCTAAACATACTTGTGAAATGACTGGGGAAATGTAAGCTCTTTCCCTTATGACTGTAACTCTAGGACAGGTTCAATAAACACCTTCCCAGTCACTGCACCCAGAAAACATGAAAAATCAGTTACCAATCAAGGACACCCAATCATTATTGAACAGAAACATCAAAGTCTTATTATAACACTGTTATAGCCACCATGGTCTAAGCAGCAGACAGACATTATTTGGGACTTCCATTGCACTGGTCACGGTTGCTCTGCAGTGTATTATGAAAAGGGAAACTGAGGCACATGGTTTGTTTTGTTTTCTGGAAGAAACAGCAGCTTAGCTAACCAGGTTATTTCATTAGGTCAGGTGCTGGCAGTCTTTGCCAGAGGGGATTGTTTCAAACCTCAATGCCAGTGCTAAAGCTGTGCTTCAGACATCACTGGTGATTTGAACTGTCTGGTGCTAAAGGATAGAGGTCTCTAGGGGACAAACATCAGCCCTTTCCAAACCATCAGTATCTCTTAGGCATCTCAAAGCCAAATGTGAATTAGCCTAAATGACTTCTGAAATCCTTGCAAAACCTCCTCAGCAGCAGTGAGGGCAAGTGGAGCAGGAGGCTGAAAGGTTTGCTCATTTCTCAAGAGAAGCTGAGTTGGCCCCTGTATGAGCAAGGCCTTGTTTGATTGAATTGACAGCCGCTGTGAAACAGGTCAGTGTTTTGTCTGCTGCATGATATGGTCTTTCAGAGCATCTCTCGTGCCCTGGAGCCACAGGAGCACAGTCCCTCCACAGGCACAGCCACATTCCTGGATCCTGGGCACTTATAGCCAGACATCCAAGAAAGATGTTGCTGGGGCTTTCACTGCTCAGGGCTGGGAGGTTTTGCTTTTTCTCGTGGGCTTGTCTTACTTTTCCTGAGAGCCCACCATGGCAAACAGGCAGCCCGGGAGCTCAGGCTGGTGGCTGCCTTGAGGTGATACCTAATCAGTGTCATCAGCTAATTTCCAGAGCTGCTGGAAGAAGGCAAAAGCTTTGGAAGCACAAACTCAAGGTGATGAGGCTCTCTCCTGTCCTGTTACAATCACAGAATCACTTAGGTTGGAAAAGACCTCTGAGATCAAGTCCAGCTGCAAACCTAACACTGCCTTCACCACTAAACCCTGTCCTCTCTGCCATCCTCTCACTGCTTATCACACTGCTGTTCACCTGCTCCAAGAGTCCTTCTCTGCCCCAGTGTTTCCTGTTCATAGAAAGTCTTCTCTGCTGGATTTTCTCTGTGATGAGCTGAAAGAATAACCTCTTGTACCTTTCTAACAGGGATCATTTCACTGAATGTAACAACTCATTAGTAGTCAAGCTTCAAACCACACAGCATTTCAGCTCCAAGTATTTTTGACTGGAAATTGGCAAAGGGACTGCACAAATATTTTAGATGGAAGTGAAAGGGCATTAGCCCTGAATAAACCTGTTCATCCGTAGAGAACTGCTCGGCTGCCTGTGACCAGCCAGGGTGACAAAGCACATTTCTGCAGGAAACGTAAGATTTTGGATGCACATAGCAAACTGCAGAAGGATATGTCTGAGTACAATAAACATACCCATAGAATGAGTAAATGAAAAAAATCCATGGGCTTTGCTAGGCTTGCAATACAACTTTGCTGTTTTAATGATTAGTGTCTCTTCATTACATTTTGGTACTTCTCTCAACACAGTGACAACCTGGGGAAGATGGGAAACAAAGTTGGTAGTAAACCACAAGCTGCGTTTATTAGTATGTTGAGTTATTTCGAGTTATGAAACACATAGTAAGAAAATTTGTTTCCAAAGCAGAGGATTATTTGAGGCCCACTGGAAGCAGGCACAGGCATTTCTATCTGCCTGTTGTCACAGCGGGAAGGAGCAGGAGTTTGCAGCGGGTTGAGTCAGGATGTGGATTTAATCCAACTCTTGCTCTCTGGCTAAGTCCAGGATTCCTGGTGGGGACCCTGACTGTGAGTGGAGCCAGAGCACAGCCCAGCAAGCCCAGCCACGAGTCACTTGTCACAAAATCAACATCTTTGAGAATCCCACAGGAAACACACTTCACTGCTGGGTGCAGTGAGAACCCCTCGACCCGGGGTCATGGTCAACTGTGAGCCAAGAAGGTAAAAGAGAGTGGGAGGGAAAAACAAAACCAAAGGATGAGTCATAAACCATAAAGGGCATCTACTCGTAGGAATTCCTTGAGGGAGGGCAGTGGAATTAGCTGATGTGCAGCATTTTCCCTCACTGCTATAAGAGTTCAGAAAATGTATATGGTCAGGGTTGGGTGTTATTACTCTAGAGACAGAGCCTGGATAAGGAGATACTCCTGTGCCAGGATCCCAGAGAACCTGGCTGCCCTGCCTGGGATGTGGGCTCCCACCTTCACCTCCTCGGACCCAGGGGAGAGCAGGAGCACCAGGAAAAGGTCCCACAGTTTGGATGCCTGTGACCCAGGGAGCAGCCAGCCAGGGGTCCCTCCCACTGTGTCCCTCTGCCTGGAATAACCATCCCCTGGGGCTAGCAGACCCTCTGCTCCCTGCCCTGCCAGCTCCACTTTCCTTGATTGTATTAGCGAGTATTTAGGGATAATTTCTTCCCAGAAAGGGTGATTAGACACTGGAAGGGGCTGCCCAGGTGGTGGAGTCACCATTGCTGGAGGTGTTTAAGAACAGATTGGATGTGCCACTGAGTGCCATGGTCCAGTTGACAAGGAGGTGTTGGGTCATAGGTTGGACTCAATCTCAGGGGTCTTTTCCAACGTGATTCTGTGATTAGCAAAACGCCCCGTGTTTTCACCCAAGAGCCCCCTCCCAGATGTGCTTATGGTTGGACACCACATGGCCACATGCTGCCGAAAGAAGTGGGGTTTTGCCTCAAAACCCAGTCGGGACTGAGGAGGGCAGGGAGAACTCGGTGCTTCTCCCTGTCCTCCCTCACAGCCACATGGCTCCCCATGGCTCCCCACAGCCACCTCCGAAAAAGGAGTTTTTACCTCAAAACCCACCCAGGGCTGAGGCAGGCAGGGAGAAGCCGATGCCTCTCCCTGTCCTTGTCCTGCCTCCCCCTGTCCCTGTCCTTCTCCCTCACGGCTACACGCCGTCGAAGAAAGCGGGGTTTTGCCTCAAAACCCACGCGGGGCTGAGACGAGCAGGGGCAACCCGGTGCCTCTCCCTCACGGCTACACGCCGCCGAAAAAGGGTGGGGGGCGGGAGGGGTTTGCCTCAAAACCCACGCGGGGCGGGCGGGGAAAACACGGTGCCTCTGTCACACGGCCACACGCCGCCCAAAAAAAAAAATAAATAAAAGGGTGTTTTGTGTTTTTTGCCTCAAAGCCCGCCCGGGGCTGAGGCGCGCTCGGGGAGTGACAATCGCCCCCCACCTTCGCCCCTGCCGCTCTCCCCTCAGGGGCGCACGGGCGCGCGCCGCGGGGGGCGCGGCCGCCGGCAGCCAATGGGCGGGCGCGCGCGCGGGCGGGGCGCGCTCCGGCCCGGGCCCCGCGCGGCCAACGCGGGGCGGGCGGGACGGAGCGGGCGGAGCCGCCGCGCGCAGGTGAGACCCTCCCGCCCCGGGCACCGAGAGACCCCCGCGCAACGACTGACCCTCGGGCAGGGACCCGCACCCGCGCAGGGACCCGCACCCGCGCAGCGGCCCGCGGGCTCCGCCGCCGGGCTGCGAGGCCCTCGGCGGCCGAGGGACAGGTGACCCACGGGGGATAATCCACGGGGGTAGCCCATGGGCAGCGTCCCCGCGGCGGTGGGGCGGGCGGGCGCGCAGGCGGGAGTGGGTGGCGGGTGAGCTCCGGCAGCCGCTGCATCCCGCGGGCTGCGGGAGCCGCCGCCGCAGCGGGGCCGGGGATGTGGCGATGCGCCCCGGCAGCCGCAGCTCCGGAGGTGTTGCTTTTACCGAGCTCAGAAATAAATGGGGGAGGAAAAAAAAAAATCCTTCTGAAAACTGGGATTTTGAGCGGTTTACTCATCACACGAGCTTGTCTCTCGCCTTTTTCTAGAGGGGGCAGAGGAGGAGGTAAGAAGTGCGGCGAGCTCCGTGCAGGTTTGTCGCTGCTTCCTAAGGCTCCTTGCTGCCCTTGGGCTCAGCCTGAGCTCCTCAAAGTTTGGGTTTTCTCAAGGATCAGTGCCTTGGTCTGAGCTGTCCTGCCCTGGCCGTGTCTCGGAGCACACACCTGGCAGCCAGGCTGGCATGAGAGGGGCTTATCTTCCTCTCTGCTTACCTTGGCTCTGAGGGACCATAACCTGCAGCTCCCGAAGGCCTGTGTGCGGTGAAGGAAAACTGCTGATCCTGCAGAGATATCACTTTATTCAGCTGCTCTGTTAAAGGTAAAATTACAGTTCTGTTGTAGTTGTAACTTAATGGAAAAGGTTTTGTTCAATAGGAAACTGTTGCTTTTCTATTTACAGCGGTTTGGGGATCTGCGTTAAGCTGACAGTGCTTCCCATCATGTGTTAACTTCCTCCCTGTGAGGCATCTCCAGCAGCTTCAATTTGTCCCGGCGGTTGACATGGGATGGCTTTGAAGTGTTGCTTTTGAAAGTGGATAAGGCAAGCAGAGAGCCCTTATCTCAGTTGCTCGCAGAGAAACACCAAAGCCAGAGTGCTGGGGCTGTGCTGCAACTTGTTGCTGTGCTGCACCCTGTGCTCGGGCTGGGGTGCCTGGTGTGAATGGGATTATTCTCCAGGCAGAGCAGTAAATTGTCTCCCTGGGCTTGCTCCCTTGGCTTTTTCCTGGAGAAGGACAGATCTTAGCAACCAGGAGCGTAAGCACCAGGCTCTTACCATTCCAGCGAGGAGTTCAGGCATGTTGCGGTTTGACATGGTATGAAAGGTTGGGTTTTTAGTCAGGGTAGGTGCTGGGCCACTGGGTCCTGATGGTTTTCCTCTTTTTTTGAGGAAGCTCTGTCCCCTGGGATCAAGTGCCTTCAATCTGGAGCTGTCTCCAGCTATTTCTTCTTGGTTTTGAGATATGTGTTGTGGGTTGGAGTGGGGTATGTGTGGGTGCTCCAGGACAGCTCCTGGCTCAGAGAGGGTGGGCAGAGCTGCTCGTCCAGAGCTGCTTCTGGAGCAGAGCTGCAAGGGGACCTCACCTGTCCTGGCATTGCCCCAGAGAGCAGTGAGGTGCCCCATCACTCCATGTAGCCTGTGTGGTGCTGTACTTCTGCCATGGCTTCCAAAGCCTGTGCTGCTGCCCTGTGCTCCTTAATTAATGTGTTTATTAAGCCCTAAATGTCTCTGCCTGATACAATTAATTGTCCTTGCACTAACCAGACGTTCAAGGCCCAGCTGCTCTGCTGGGAGGGGCTTGTGGGATTTCTCTTCCCTTCTGGGCTCTTGTGGGATGGCTGCAGTGGGAATGCTCTGAGCATGCAGCAGGGGAGATGTTTGGAAGGGTAATGTTGCAGTGTTCAGTTTGCTGGAGGATGAAGCAGTGTTTAGGCAGTGGTCACCACAAGCACTTATGTGGTTTAAAACTTGGCTGGGCATGAAGAGGTGCCACAACACTGAGTGTGTCACTGTGCTTCAGCCAAGGGGCTGCTTGCCAGAGTTCTGCATCTCTTTTTGCTGATACTTGTTCCCTGAAGTTACTGAAAGATGCATTAACCCTGCATTTGTGGCAGCCTCTCACAAACTGTGGAAAGAACAGTCCTGTCTGAAAGCCCTGCCTGTGTCAATGCAGACCTTAGAAGAGCCTTTACAGGGTCATTCCAACCCAGTGGGGAGCTCAGTGTGAGGATTTTGTCAGTGCTGGAGCTGTGGAAGGCAGTTTGGTAGCATCTGAAATCAATATGTGCAATTACTGCGCCTTGGGAAGATGCCTGGAGGGAGGATACCTGTTACTGCCCTAAAGCTCAGGTGGATGATGGGCAGGAAGAATGTCCAGGGGTCTGTTGAGCTGCTCACAGCACTGACAAACACTGGGTGTAGGGGAGGCAGGTTCTGCTTACGTGGGAGATCTTTCATCCCTGGGATGAAAGCAGTGTAAAAGCCCAGTATAAACCTGGCATGAGTCAAAATGTGACCGGCTTGTGTCTTAAAAGGTGAGCAAAGCAGACACCTCTGGGTGTAGGCATGCGGTGACCCCATCAGAATTCTTCATCTTACGTCTATCTCTTCATGGTTTCTTCTCTGATTTTCAGTCTCTCTCTCTCTTTTTTTTTTTTTTTATTATTATTATTATTTTTTGGCACAGAATGTCGCTTGCTTTGAGAAGGAAACATCCAACGTGCAGGGAGGTGACCCAGTCACCAGAAAAGATGTGGTTGGAAAAGGAATGTGCGTGGCTGGCTGTAAAAGCCGCGGGGATGATTGAAGTGTACAAAGCAGTTGTTGACGCAACGCAGTCACCGTGGCAGAGCTGAGGGTTGGGAAGTGTTGTTTGTGATGGATAAAGCAGCAAAGTGTCAGGTACAGCAGGTGAATGAAGGATACCAAATAATGGCATGTGGTCAAGTGTGTTGTTTTAATTAAGACAGTGGTTAAGCTTAGCAGGGTTGGGGAAAAATATCTGAAACCTTCTAAAGAGAAGAAATCCTGATAACTGATAAATTGGAGTAGGATGCTAATCTGAAAGCTAATGGTGGGAAGAAGCTGCAGTGACTTTCATGGATGTGTGGGAGGGTGGCTGCTGATTTGTGGTGGTGGGTGAGGTGTGAGTACACTTGTTCCAGCTCCTCAGAAACTCAGATGTTTCCCAGGCTTGGGGGGTTGGTCACAGGTGATGACTTTTAGGATTGAGTCTTTAATCACAGAAAAACGTTTTATAGACTTCATCGTTAATGCTGAGGTGCAGTCAAGGACTGCAGAACTTGTGGGTCTAACTTGCTTAGGAGTTTGCAGATGGGATTTGTCGGTCACTTTTTCTACTGGTTTTAAGTCTTTAGAAACATTTTCCTGTTTTGTTGCAGTCTTCAGTTATATACTCTATATATTCACACATATTTTATATGTTAGATATTCAGTTTATTTTATATTTTTGGCACAAGTGATTTGGATAGAAACAGAGGGAGAAGCACAAATGTAACACATCAAGTTCATGACAGTGGGGAAATTTTGGTTTTTGCTTTTATGTGCTGGTGTCCCTGGATAGGGAAGTTTTCCTGAAGGGTCAAATCCTTTTGAGGACACATCATCTCAGTGGGGGCTGAGGCTTGCAGCTGGGAGCTGCATATCCCACAAACCTACTGGTTGAGTATGAGCCCCTGTATTTTATTTCTTGATGTCACCCAGTGCACGAGCTGAGTCATGCCTTGGATAAGGTGTGGTTTGTTGAGGGCTTGTTTCTGTTGGGTTGCTGCCCTGGGCAGGCATTATTTTAGGGCGAGTGCTGCTGAGACAGTTGTAGTTCCCTTTTAGCCGAATCCATGTGGGATTAATTTAGGCTGCTCATCTCTGGGGTGGCTTCAGTGTTTCTGCAGAGCGGTGGCTGTGTTTGGGGAAGGCTGTGAAATGTTGTGATTAATTCTTCAGCATTGTTCAGAGAGTTGATGATGAAGTTGTTAGCTAGTTAACAGTGACTGCTCTAATTATTCTGGTGTAATGTAAACAGCGAGGCTGTGATGTACCACTGTCTGCTGGAGCAGCACTTGACTGTGTGTCTTTCTGAGACACAGACATCCTTCCCCTTTCTCCTGTTGCTGTGCTGTCCTCTCTGCAGAGCAGCCACGTGTATGCCTTGGACAAGCAGGGAAGCCACGCAAGTCCAGCTTTAATTTGGGCTGCTATTGGTGCTGAGTGGCAGCTGCTGCCCTGAGGTCAGCGGAGCCAAATTCATTGCCTCACTTTTTTCTCTCCCTGCTGCATTTCCCTGTCTCCAGTAGTTCCCCCTCACTCACACCACTATAAGTGAGGGCTGTGTCCCATCCTTTTCAGCTGGCAGCAGAGGATGGGACTGGGGTGGGAGTCCTTGTTGCAGAGCAGAGATGGGGCAGCGGGGTCTGGACTGAACAGTCATGAGCACAGAGCTGAGTGCCAAGGAGGGAGGAAGAGAATGGCTCCCTGAGGGCTGCAGGTCCTGTGCACTATCCCTTGAATGTTTCTGGGGTGTGCTGATTGTTTTTCTCAGCCAAGTGACACTGTGATTTTGTGACCTTGTTAGGACAGAGCATTAATGACACATTTTGGAGGGATGTTGGGTCCCTGTTCCCATGAGGAGACTTCAAGGCAAGACTTGTGACTTTGAACAGCTGTGCAGATGACATTTTCTTCAACTTCAGAGGAAAAAAAAATCTTAACTCTGGCACTCTTATTCTACAAAGATTTCTGGTATGGCTGTTGAACTTCTAGTATGTTATGTAGAAGGAAGTCCTACAGACCCAAGAAGCTTTCAACTGGAGAAGGAATTTGATAAGAAGGATGTTAAATTAAGACTCATTCAGTTGTTTCCTCTGGCTACAGATTTCCGTGGTAGGCTGGAGCTCCAATTCACAGATAGAACTAAAAATTGAGTGCTCATCATGAGTGTTAAACTAGAGGCTCAGTTGGGGTGAGAAAAGGAGGAATAAAGAAGTGCTGAAGAAGCCCAGGCTAAATAACACCTTCTGAGGACATGTTAGTGTTGGATTTGTGACTGATGGGACTGTGGTGAGAGTGTGAATCAGTCGTACCAAGGGACATGAGATCATCCTACCCTGGTGACCTGGACTGTAGTGCCAGTGTTTGACACTTTGGTCCTGTGCTGGAGCAATGCTCTGAGTCAGGTGTTCCTCAGCTGTCCCTGTGCTGCAGAGAATAGTCACAATTTTATCTTGCAGCCCTGTGAGTGCAAGCAAAGATTGGACCATCCACCCTGCAGTTTGTCTTGGTTTTGCTCTGCTTTTGTTTGCTGTACTGATTAACTCAAAGAGTATTTTGCTCTCATGAGGGACTTTATCATGAGTGTCTGTCTCTTCTTCCCCCACTCTGGGCAGTAGTTCAGGTTTCTGTTTATTTTATGGGGTGGATGCAAGTCCTAAAACCACAAAAGAGCTGGTGAGGATGGATTTGCTGTATACAAATAGCATGGGCACAGCCCCCTGCAGCCCACAGCTGCAGGCTGTCACATCTACAGCAGAGAAAGCTGAAGGAATCAGGCAGCAGGAGTTAAAACCCAAGCCAGCCCAGCTTTGCAGAGTACATTCATGTACCTACCTACCTGAGGCTGGCTCTAATTACCAGCTCCTGTGCTGTCCTGCTGCTGCACCAGCTCTGTCAAGCTGGTCTAAACCACCTCCTGCCTCTGTGCTTCCTCTCCATGGTACTGGCAGCACGCAGGCACTGCTTGTGAAAGCCACTGCTTGTGCTCCAGCTCTAATGCTGGAGCTTTTCTCCTGCCTCTGGACCTCATG